GGTCCAGAGGCCCCGAGCCCCAACAGGCAGTCACCAGGCCAGGCCGGCACATACTTCAGCGCCCAGCCCCAGACCCCAGGAAGCCCCAGCATGCCAGCGGCCAGCCGCACACCCCACCGGGGGGCCGAGTAGCAGCAGGCCCCCAGATAAACCAGCAGTAGGGGCAGTCCAGACCGCAGCCTGACAAATACCCAAACATACAGACATTTTCTTCCCATAGAAACCCATTTCTAAAGATCTAACTATTGGTTTAAGTGAAAGAAGTTGAGCTTGCCAATGATACTTCAGTGTAACATTGTCCTAACCCTCTGGCAGAGATTATAGACTTTTTTCCCTGCAAAAAGCTATACTTCATTGTGCATCACATTTTTTTTTATTTTAATAATACCATGCACTGTCATTTTTTTAAATCTCAGTAATCTTTAAGGTCTTTGTGTGATCAATTCACTGTACTTACAATGCATCAAATAGAGGTAGTCTTATGAGCTAAACACCACCTAATTACACACAGCCAAATCAAATTTAGAAATTAAATTGAAGACTCACAAAACTGCATCTGTCTATTTAAAGCAAGAGCTGAATGACTTTTCCTCGTTTGAAAGCTTCAAGATTTATTTCAAAAGAAACTTTATATTGACAGTATTAAAGCCTAGACATGTACCATCTGTAGAAAACTTAATAACTCAGTTTTATGCAATTTGTGCACGCAGTCTGCTTTAAACAAATATCTGCTTTGGTGAGACACCATCGTACACTGACTCTGTAATCACTCTTCACAAAGAAATAGAGCAGGTGAGGTGTGTAATTTCACTTGAGAGTCGAGCTGCTCTTTCACGGAGTCACAACTTTTGATAAATGAAATTAACATCTGTAGGGTCAGGAAATCAATATAGACAAAACACCTAATGAAATTTCTTTCTGCGTGTCCATGTCTACTGGTGGAAACTTACTATGAAATGCACTTTGTCTTCAAGATGTGCAAAAATGGCCTTACCAGACCAGCATAATTTAAATATATGTCTATAACTGGATAACTATAACAGAAAATGCTGATAATGGTTCTTTACAGTAATACATTTATCTGTAGACTTCTTCTTTCCAGTTTACACAAACTTTTCAATGATTTTATATTAAATGTTATATAATTCATTCAAGCTTAAAACGTCAAGCTGTGTGTTTCATTTAGACACTTAAACTCTATGAAATGTTTTTTTGTCGATTTAGGTCCTGAGAGTTGTAAAGAACAGATTGGGTTTTGCTTGTTGACAGTATAAACTCTTTTATGCCCATATTGTGTTATTTCCTTGGTTGTGTCTGCATTACATTGTAGGTAATACCATCAACAGGAAAATGCTTGCACTGCATTATAATCCTGCAGTTATCACAGTACAGACAAACACAAGAAAGTTGAGAATTACATCATTAAAATATATTTAAGGGGTTGGCACAATTCAGTGAATTATAGAGGAAAAAATGTAGCTGCCATCAATCATCATGCAGTATCTTTAAAGAAATGCCACACTCATAACTGACAACATAATCATCCAACAGTCTTAGAAATACATGAATTTACAATTTAACATCAATCATCTGGCATTTCCAAGATAACTAAACTAGGATAAAAAGGCTTGTTCTGAACAGGATAAAAAATTAATATGTGTAATTTGTAAATGCTTTTTTAAGGATAAAGACATTTATTATCTGTCTTGTCAAAAATCTGGGGTTTAAAAAATAATCTTGAGTGAGCATCAAAACTAAAAAAGCAGATAAAAAAATGAATATCTGGCTTGGTGTCTTAAAACGGTTCTTTCAGTGTCAACATCTTATCTGGAGTTTAAACTAATTATGGTTTTTTTTCTGTCTTAAAAAC